TAACTTTCTTAATCTTCACTAGATCTTGAATCTACGCAACGAATATTGCTACGAAACCTGGTATTAGTATCAGAGCCAATGAACGGGCTCAGCCTATGCACTAAATCTTTTAACGTTTAAAATTCATTTTATTCTATCCTAGATCTATTTAAATAAATTATTTAAGACAGATTCGTTCTTAAATTACGGATTCTCTCTTATGAAACGAAAACATTTTACCCGCAACAGCTTCTAAAACTTTTTGGGGTAGTCGACACCCACTGCAAAAAAATCGTGACTATACACTTTCCACTATTGTTGATAACCTATGATCTGACTAATTTTCAGACTACCGACAGTCTTTAGATATCACTCCGAGCTCCCGGAGAAACTCATACCACGCCTAGATCGTTGATGATAATGGTCTCGCTTGACTTTCATGTTGAAAAAGGCACTTTAAGCTGTTTACATATGTACTGAAGTAGGTATCCGCTCTCTTTGATTTCTGCAGAACCAAATGAGTTTTTCGTGATCTTCACAAAAACTATTAAGAGTTGTTAACTGGCTTTATTTAAAAAAATGCGTTCTTTTTTAAAAACGACTTTAGAAAACTTTTTTTCTACCACCAATGCATTTATTACAGCTGACATTAGAGCGGTCACTTTTTACCGGGCGTTTGCGCGACGCTTATATCTTAGTGGCAAGACCTAGAAACCTTTTGTCGATGTGTCCTCATTGTGAAGGAACACTTTCCTCAATCAGACTCTGTATAAGGAAAATTTATCAAAGCACTGGAAAGGAAAGAACAACTTTTGACACTATAGTAGGTGAAGGATTCTAACCTCGTCATAACTATTGGTTGATGAAACGTAGAAGTGGCCTCATTTTGAGCCTCAGATTTTTGTCTAGATTAGGCTATGTTCAATTTAAAGCCGAAAATTTTGATAAAAACAGAAATGGTTAATCTCAACTGAACAACGAAGTTTCTCTAACTCTAGTACTACCAAGTGGGGTCAAAAATGACCCATGTGGCTATTTTTTGAATAACTCAGCATCAAATAAAGATACAGACTTGCGATTTTCACCATACGATAGCCAGGACTTGAGGCTATCTTTTCATAAGCAAAAACGTATTCGAAAAAGTTCGGATCCAAGCAAAAGTTTCACTTTGCTGCATTTGGCAGCTACAGGCGTTTTTCCCGAAACCCTGAGACTTCTCTATTCTTCTGTCTGGGATTTTCAGAGATGCATGAAAACATAGGTTATCGACCACGCTGACTCTCGTGTCCATGCTAGTTTTTAGAACAAAATGTAAGAAGCAACTGAAAACTTGTACAAGGTGAAATAACCCATTTTTGGCTATTTTCGCCCAAAAAAAAAAAATTCATAACTCACCGAAAGCTCCATCCAAACTATGTCAGAATATCAAGATGTACTCTATTTCGTTCTCTCAATCTGATTCTGTACTTAAGATCAATAAAAAACATTCGCTTAGTTTCAAAGATTTCCAGAAAACCTTTTCAAAATCAAACTATTTTCTGTTGGTTTTCCATATATCCTAAAATTAGAGATCGCTTTTTTTTCCATTTTGCTTTGTCACTGAGAAAAATCCTTTTTTCTTAATCAAGAGCAATTCGCATCAGGACTCAAGTTTTATGCAATAAAAATATCATATTCGGAATCAGCCTCATGAACTGAATCAAATGATATTTATTTCGAAACTTTTTCTAGATTTTCATTTTCTGTTGAAAATCTAAACAAGTTTTCTACGTGAAAATTCAAAAAAACTCAAAGTAATCGGATAGACTAAAACGTGCATCACTCGCTTCAGTCCGTGAGCTTGAGTCCGAATATGATATTTTTATTGCATAAAACTTGATAGAAAAAAGTACGAGATCATATGAGGATTAAATGATCATAAAGGGATCGAAAGACGAATCGATCCTCGGTTTTCCTCTCTTGCTGCAACCAATACTTTTCAATTGTCTTCTAATTTTAATTTTAATGAGTATCTATGCGGTAAATCACGTATAATTGTTTTTCTTTCTTACTAGGTAGAACCATTTCCATTTAATCAACCGACATACACTCACCAGCCAGCGCTCATTCCGTCATTTAACATGATAAATATAGGTTCATCATCTGCAACATTTAACACCAGTAAGTGTGTTCCTGTTCTTGCTAAAGGTATCTCTCCACTTATAACTGTTTGGCACCTTGTTTGAAAACTACTTCTACGTTAACTAATTTAAACAGATAATGTTCTCCAGGTTAGTTGATGATTGACGATTGTCGGCCTTGTTTCGCTAATTCTTACTATTTCGTCGAGTTCTTCCTCAAAGCATTTCCTTCGAACGTTGGCTTGTAGAAGGATGTTTCAACTAGAGAATCAGGCACTTTCAAACTAGTTTTGTTAGCGATCCAGACCCACCAGCACGGGTCGCAATCGGTCGAAAACGGGGTTTTCCGATCAGTTCCACCCCTGAATATGATGAGTGGTTTCAATAGCCCTAAACGACAAGTTTCGGCAGTTTCAGGTGGCTGTTTCCGACCACCAGAACAGACTACCGCATCCAGCACCAGAACTGATTGGGTACGCAACGGAAAAGAGCAGAAATGTAATTGTATAATCAGAAAGCGTGATAGTACATGTCTTTGTGCTGTCCTGCATTCAACAAATGTTTTCTAGTCTTAAAGATACGATAAGAGTTACTTTAGTATCAGCTGGAACCAAGAACAGATTCCATTGAATCTATAACTGGAGCCTTGAGATGCCTTATAACCGAGACTAAAATTAATGGTTTCTGCAAGACTGTTCATATTGGTTTTGGGCTGCTCTGTAGTTCGCTTAAGTCAGTGCTTAACTGATAACGCATCCCCAATGGAGTTATGCCAAACTACATCTGGCTTCCTTTTTCTCAGAAAACGTTGGATACCCTTCAGATGCAAAAGTAGAGCCTTATGTTAAATAGACCACACGGGTTCTGGAGAAAAAACGTTTTGCGGACTCCGGGTCACAAACAGTCAGACAATGTCTGTTTCTACTTTAATTCTACTTTACAGTATTTACTGCGACTAGATTATGTTGAATGCTGTTCAAGACTATCAACTAAAAGTTGAGCAAATCTAACGACTTAGCAGCTCCAGCAGGAGCGATTTAACACTTATGGACACTGATGGTGACTTTTTTCTTGAAAAAAATCGACCAGAAAGTCACTAAGTGGCCTTCACAGTATGCTGCATAAGTACGGCAACCGCTTCTCACCTTTTCTGTAATATGCAATATTTCCGAAAGTCATAGAGTATCAAACATACACAGTTTATACCCTGTGTTTACAGAGCAAAGCTGCGGATGTGTACCCTTTTCTCTCATCTCTCTCGCTCTCAGCTTTACTTTGTAATGTAGAAGGGAATGTTTAATCGATATATAGAACCAGATCATCGATAAGTATATGTAGATCTGATAGATAGCTTAGTAGGATAAGTCACAGATAAACAATAATCTATATGTATGTATGTCTACTGATCGCGGTTCGAATCCGTGCAGGACTACGCGTCTGTTTTCTTTTTCTCATATTATACATCACCGAAACCGACCGCCGGAAACTGGTGGAAAAAAGACGGTAGAAATCCGGTGCGGATTTCCGCAAAGATCTGGTGTACTTAAGCCGGTTTCGGTATTAGTCTGTGCCGTTACCGGTCGAAAATGCATCAGATCAGCGTCGAAACAGTCATCGAAATCATGGATCTGGAGGATTAGACAAACCTAACTAACAAAATATCTTCGGTAACGGTACCGGAAAAAGCAATGAACATTTTTCTATCATCTAAATGTTGTGTAGTGCTTTAGACAAACGTTCAAAGAGGCAAAGAAATTGTGTCGAGTTCCCCTTGTCTGAATGCCGGAGTCCGCAAAACATGAATATTGGATAGCGAGCAGACAGTAAGGTTTATAGAGATGGAACAGATACAGGGCAGGTAATCGGTAGATAAATCTAAAATGGTCATGAGCTACTTCTGGAAACGATCTGATTGATCGACTCTATCAGTCAATTGTGCTATCAGCTGGGTATGTGCAGAAGCTGGGCGTTTGATGGGGAAAAGATGGGTGATAATTGCTCGATGAAACGGTCAATGATAGTGAAGCTGATAGCGCATGAGTAAGAAGAAGTGAAATATTGGATTTATTTAAACTAATCATTTAGTCTGTGATTTCAAGTGGAGACAAAACAGTGGTGTAGTAATAGTACAATATAATGTTAGAATATTCTCGGATACCAGCGTGAAATGAGCTGACACTTCTACAGAATGAGCTACTCAGTAGCTCATTACCGGGTAATCAACTATTTTAGAGTGAATCCTCTGTATTCCGATGATAAGATGCAGTTATGCACACTATTGTCAGGCACATTTGCTTTGTTCCTTTCATTCCTGTAACTAAACTGTTTGCTTGTGATGAGTTGTACAACAACAGCATTTCTCTACAATCTAAAGTTGTAATAAAAATATATTTAGCATCTAGATAATTAGGGAAAATCAAATTACCGAATCACATTGAAGAACGTACTGATAATTCCTTAGGTGATGATGCGTTCAACTAGTCTAAAGAAAGTTGAAACTGCCACGGCAGCACCCTACACTAGTAACGGTAGCCGCAAGGCAGGGTATTCTTCTTCCTTCTTCGTGAAGAAAGTTGTACCTTTATTATCTAAGGTCCCAGTTTGGTTACGTTTAACAATGGTTTAGTAACACCGCAGTTTAATTTTTGTCGATCCTCAAACTGTAAGCTACATAATAAAATTTTCTTATTCTTCTCATTCTTCTCTATCGTTTACATTTCGTTTTATTTAACAGCCACGTTACCGAATAACACTATCTTTGCTCAATCATCTAATCCAACATCAACACCTTCTGTAGCTATAAATGAGACGAAGACATTAGAGTCATCACAAGAAAGTCAATGTGAATTATGTGAAAATGGTTCAACTGCTATTTGTCATTGTTGTAAACAAAACCTATGTATGAAACATTTAACTGAACACTTTAAAATTATCAATGATCGACTTCCTATATGCGTTAACCAACTAAATGAGTTATTAGTCGAATTAAATCAAATATCTTCTTCAACAGTTGTGAAAAAAACATATGACCATTTAGATAAATGGCGACAACAAAGTCATCAAACAATTGATGATATATATGAACAAAAACGAAATGAAATTGATCAGATCTTAAGTCGAAATTATGATAAATATAAAAACGATCAATTAAATAATATTGATAAAACAAAATCATATACTGAAAACTTAATAAATAAACAAAATGCTACACATTATCAAATGGAAGAATTCAATAAAACCCTTGAAATAACGCAATCAACATTTAATAAATTTAAACAAAATTTCGTTTTAATTAATACAATACCATTAAATATTAATGCTAATGTTGTCGATTTACAATTACTATCGAAAATAGCAGATATATACAGTTTAAAAACACCTGAAAAAATTCTAAAACTAAATGATAAATGGTTTTCATCGTTTGCATCTCATAATGACTATTTACTGTTGTATCAAAACTCAAAATTCTGTTTATACAATAATATGTTAACAATAGTTAACGAAATCGAATGGAATAATGATCTAATCGTAGACATGTGTTGGTCATCAACACTTGACAAATATGTGATATTAACAGAAAAATTTTTGTTCACACTAGATGAAACATCTATGACATTAATCGAGAGATTAAAAACAGATAAAACTTTTCTCTCTTGTACTTGTTCTCATGAAAAATTATTTGTTATATCTCAAAACTGTCCTTCTACTATTGAAGAATACGAATTACAATCATTTATTTTAATAAGAGAATGGAAATCACAACAAATTTTTGCAATTCATGAGTTAATTTATTCTATTCGATGTGACAATGATCATTTTTGTTTATTAATTAAAAACAAACTAACAGGAAAAGTTCATATTGAACTCCGAACTACAGCGACAATGAATACAGTTTGGTCCGTTATAGTACCTATTCCATTTTCAAATTCTATTTCACGCTTATGTTTATTATCGTTCAATGAATGGCTTATCATTGATGAACAAAGCAATCATCTCATTCAAATTTCATCGGATGGGAAATTAAAATCAAAAGTACATTTTAACTTTAAACCATGTAACGCTGTTCGGTTTGACTATAATTCAACTATCGTTATCGTGGATAATGCCGGACAGTTATATTTATATTAAAATGTGTTTAAAACTCAATCGAACGCTTCTTTCATTCAACTGACAAGATAAATCTAACCAGTAATTTTTAAAACCGTCACGAGATAGAAAAACTATTTTCCTTCTTTCTCTTGTTTAATTCATTCTATTTAATCTTTTAAGAATATAACGATGAAGAAGGTGGTTCATCTCATATTATTCGGAAAGAAACAAACATAGTATAATCTGTAACAAAGGTGTTGTCCTTGTTTGCTTTCGTATTTAGTACTAACCGTATGAGTACTTTCACTATAAATATGTTTATTTGTTAAAAATCTTATGCGTGTTTCTAACATTGTTGACGGCTCAATCACGGATAAATTTTGGTCATTTTATTTTGTCTTTTGTCATTTGTATAATGTCTTCTGACAACTGTTTACGTACGACGACTATTAAGTGGCGTTTTCGTCCAAAACATTTCGGTATAAATCATACATATTTGGAATCAGGATCAAATTCTGAACAAAATGGCGCTTTCAGAACTTTCAAATTTGAAAAAATATTTTTTGCCAAAAAATATGCAAGGGTCCCCCTCAGGGATAAACGAAAATTTGTTTTATTGAAAAATTTTGAAAAACATATTCTCTGACTCAGAATTCGATGCTGATCACGAATATCACAACCGCAGCTCGAAAAAATGCGGCCTGTCCAAATGGCAATAGAAATAAAATTTGACTCAAAACCCGGGTTTTTCGAGTTTTTGCCCCAAATTTTCGACAAAAGTGCTCTTTTGTTTACCACATGACTTTTCCTATGTGTAACTCGATATGCTGAATCCGAATATGCTAAAATTGAAAAAGTTTGGCATAATTTTTATCTAAAAACCGCTAAAAATCTGAAGGATTTGGGGTTTTAAGGTTCTGGATCTCGAAGGGGCACCTAGAACGCTTGGACCAAAACGATCTTTTTATCGGAGATAGATGACGACATGCTTCTTCCAGCCCCTGTTCAGGAACTGTAAGCATTTTCCTGAGAGCCCCGATTTCAGCCAGTTGACCTTGGATCACTTCAAAAAACCTCGAAATATAGGTAATCGACCATGCTGAGTCGAGTGGGGATGTTTATTTTCAGTTTCGAAGCGACTGAAATACATAAATTGAATATTTCTGAAATTTTTGTATTTAGACGTTATGCCATATTGAGCCGATATTTCAGAAATATTCAATTTAGGTATTTCAGTCGCTTCGAAACTGAAAATAAACATCCCCATTCGACTCAGCATGGTCGATTACCTATATTTCGAGGTTTTTTGAAGTGATCCAAGGTCAGCTGGCCGAAATCAGGGCTCTCAGGAAAATGCTTACAGTTCCTGAAGAGCGCAAGCTAAAGAGCCGGACCTTGTGTATATCAATAGAGAACAATTTTCTCCATCGAATGATTGTATTAGAACACGAGAGTTCGCGATTTTTTGTAATTCTCATGCATAGCCTACGCAAAATTTAGACGTTCACACTATGGAGATGTTGAACGGTGGATTCACCTATCAGTGACTTGAAAGGTGAAGTACGCATAAGAACGATAATCAGCCCACTAGCAATCACCTCTTTCATCGGTCCCAGCCTCATCAGAAACATCCGATTATGATATTCGATGACGATTAGAGGGGTGATTGTTAGTGGACCGATTACCGTTCGTATGCGTGCGTCACCTTTCAAGCCACTGATAGGTGAATCCACCGTTCAACATCTCCATAGTGTGAACGTCTAAATTTTGCGCAGGCTATGCATGAGAATTACAAAAAATCGCGAACTCTCGTGTTGTATTACTCTCTAAAAACCGTTTTGCTGCACATATATCTGATCACGGAACAAGCATGGGCGAGTCCGAGTCCTTGACATTAAGGACCGACTCCGAGCCTCGAGTTCATTTCGAGCCCGGTAATTTTGTAGATTCTTTTTTGGATGAGTGTGGTTTATTTCTCTTTTGTAATTTACTGAGCCCTGGATAGGTATTTGATTTGTCGAAAATATTTGAAAAATTTGTTGTTATTTCGCTTTTCATTTTCTCTGCTCATTTGTGCTGAAAGTTGAATAGATCGGACTCGAAATACAAAAACTCAAGTCCGAGTTCGGGTCCGAGTTCGCCAAAAAATCTTCCCGTCCGAACTCGGACTCGCCTATGCTTGTCACGGAACATATACATTACACACGTTATATATTTTTCTTTTTGCTGTTTTACCGTGAAGAAATCAAGTTCTTTGAGCATAGGAAAATAAAACAAATAAAACTTTAAAATTTTCTCTTTTACGTTAAAAATGTTTCATATACAAACAAAACAAAAATAAAATCATTATTAAAAAAAAGAAAAATCTCTTTACCGTCGTTTTTCTACTAGTGTTCAAGGATCAACTATTGTATATATTTTAATACTTTTCTTGCGCTACGAAGCTTTTCATGCTGATGAAATAACGTGTCAGTAGACAATTTAAGCTACGTTATGAGGGTTAACAAATTTATAGAAACAAAACAAAATTTGTTCATTATATATTTCTATTAGTTTTTGGAACACTTTATTGGCGCAATTAAGTATCACCAAAAAATTATATATGTGAGCTATTAGACCCAGATGCTATTGTATTAAATATTGCGATACAACGTAACTGGGTTTCTTCTTTCATATCATATTTTTAGTCCGTCCATGGAAAAAGATGGTTGCAGTTACAGGTGGGCAGCCGATGGCCTAAACGACAGCCGTAGCTGATGACTATGGAAAAATTTTCTGTAACAACTGATAAAAACAAAATTTTTATCAGTCGACCTTAAAACCGATCGAAAAACCAGTTCTATCCTCGACAAAAAAAGGTATCCATTTTCACTTTCCTTGCGAATTTATCAAGAATTTGATGCAAGTTAATAGTTTGAGAATGTGAAGTTGTGAATATTCCAGCAGAGCCGCGTCAGTTTGTCAAAAATATCGATATAGAAACAAGCACATAGTTGGATAGTGCAAAGTGTTTACTTTCTAGTGACATAATTTTTCTGTCAATAGAATAAGTTCGTCATAGGTTTTAAGCGAGTTTTCCAGAACCCCAACAAGATTAAAAATGGCTTTTTTGCACTTGCTTGCATATCCGCACACATGTGCTTTTTTAAGTAAAATGCATGTAACAAAATCAAAACTAATTTTGCGTTTTTCTCAAGACCGTCTTTTAGCTTCAGAGCTTTTGCCACGCGCAGACAATCGAGGTAACAATACAGCGGAGAAAGATAATTTTTTTTTATTTGTAGATAAGACCTATAGCTAGGACTTGACAGAGTCCGATTTTAAATTATGCTCCCATGTTTTATACAGATGAGGATTCCTACGAAACCTTCTAAGATTTTTTTTGAATTTCAAAGTTTTATTAAGTACCAGAAATCAGTAAATGAGAATTTCAAACATCGGGCTTTGTCAACTCATAGTCATAGGTGTCTACTGCAAAAGAAACGAATTCCGAACTCCCTATCATTTACCTGGAATGAGAATTCTCGTAGTAGACACCTATTTTTGGACTTTGTTGTGGTGCCCTCTCACAAACAGTTACAAGTGGCACCATAAAAGAAACGTTTCGTTATCGCGTTTCGACATGGTCAACATTTCCTGAAAGTTTGATTCAGATCAAACAGGCCTAGTAGGATGAGATAGATTTCTGTCATTATGTGGAATTTTGTAGCTTTTTCCAGAGAAATGATTTTTCTAACTTCATAAGTATATTGGTACAGATTTACAAAGACCGGATTCCGGGAAAACCTATACAAAATACTTTGAAAGTTTAAAAACCATGCCATTGAAAAGAGCAGATGCGAAAACCTATGAAAAGAGTGTTTAGACACGTTCTAGCACATGTCCACGTGCCCAGCCAAAATTACCCACTGTGGGCCTTAAGTTCGGACTGAAAAAGGCAAAACTCGCATAGAAAGTAAAATACAAGAAAAATTATGTAGAGGCTAAAGCTCAAAATAACCTGTCACGGTTGCTCTTTGGAACAAAAATGTGAAAACTGATATCTTACACCTACTTGATCCCCCACCACCCGTTTTCACCTAAAAAGCACTGTTTTATAAACTTCAACGTTACGTTTCCTTAAGCAAAGTTTTGTGCAAGAAGTTTCCCAAAACAAAAGAGAAAGGACCCTAAAGCGTTGTAAAGCTTCTTTCCAGTGTTACAGTAGGGACAAAGGGTAGAGCATAAAACATTTGATCTACTAATTTTTCCGCTAGCAATTACAGTCATTTGGCGTCAAATTCAGGGTGAAAATTTTTGACTTTTCGACCTTGTAGAATAACTTTTAAAACTTCGTTCTAGGCTTAAACGATATCGAATTTTGTTTAGTATTTGATCATAAAGGGTGTCTACTAAGTTCTGATCTGTAAATTGCCGTTATCTATATAAAATAGATATAATAAAATTCAGCTGTTTTTTGTAGAAGATTCACCATTTAATTCTCTATAAAATAGGAGATGATCGAGGGACTTGGGATTCCTTCTGAACTGAAAAGAGATCGAAATGCCATAAAACTTTCAAAAATTCAACTTGGAAAACTGTACCTCATCAGTATAATCTTGAATGTACGCATTGTGCCACATCGAATAAACCAAAATACAGCTCTTGAAATTCTCTGTCGAATGATTATAATACGAATTTTTTGTCTTTATTTCCATTCTTTTAATCATTCGTTTCGCAAAAACCCAATCGCTGGTTTTTGCAGCTTTATCAACGTGTATTTCAAAGCTGTTTGTAAAATGAACAGTGCTCACTCAAAAATGAATGAATGAGGCTCATTCTTGCGTCATTTTGAAAAGCAACGTTTTATTTATTCCATTCGTGTGCAAAATGTCTGATGTCACTTCCGTAAAAATAATTGAAAGGCCGAAACTACCATTTTGTTCATCTTTGGCTGCCAATTATTAACTAAACATTTTTACCACATCGAACGGATGGGGATGAAATGAATCTTGTCGCAACTGATAGAGAATATCTTAATATACCAAGAAACGATCTAA